CAAGAAAGTATCCTATAACCAAAGAAAGTTTCTGTATCTACTTGAGTCTATCTAAAGATGATTCGAACTAACTGGCAAGAAGGTAGAAAAGCCAAAGTTTATATATCTTTCTAAACTATCTAAAGCTAATAGAAATAATAAGAAACGGTAGAAACAGTAGAAATGGTAGTGTTACTATTGTTTTGGGAAAGCGTTTAGAACTATCGACACAATTTATCTCCAATAGTTAACTTATATATTTTTTGTATAGAACTCAAGGTATTTTACTAATAAATAAATGCGATAATAGTAATAACTCAAACACGTGAGATTACGTAATTAATCTATGATCGGGGCACTTAATTATATCTATCTGTAATCAATCAGGTAAATAAATCAAGTTATATAATCATAATTAAATAAATCAGTAATATCGATAGTTAATCAATATGACTGATATTAAGGTTTGATACTTATAAGGTAACAAAGTAATAGGGTATTTAACAAGTAACAGAAAAATGTATAATATGATCATGAAGAGTCTTCACGGTAAAATAATAACAATAAATACAACAATACAATGATAAACTTATATAACATCAATTCGAGAAATCAATTCTTAATACTTCTATATTAAAGATAATGAAATCTCTAACTTTATTGAAAGGGCGAATAGATACCCTATTTATACTTTCGAGATATATAAGAATAAGGCTTTTACATATTCTTGGATTTATCTCTATTTGTTGGGCCCGAGCAGTACTTTCTACTAGGCTTATCTTTACTAATTTAACCTTTCTTGGACTCCTAACTAAGCTTTTCTATATTCTAGTTACTCCGCCTTACTCTCTTTTAACTTTTCTCTAAGCTTTGACCTACCCTAGTCATTACGCCTTAATAAACAAGTAAGAATCTTTAGATATAGAATAAACAAAGATGACGAATAATAATTATTTGTACAGATCTGAACCTCTAAGCCTTCGCCACCAATAAGCCTCAATATAACAAATATACTATAAACAAATAAAAAGAATCTATAGATATAAAAATAAACAAAGATGACGAATAAGATAAATATTTGTATAAATCTAAACTTCCAAGCTTTCGCCACAACCTAGCCTTACAGTATACATGTTCTTGTTACTACAAGTCATGATTTTTCAAAGAAAAAGTGTGACATACTCCCCTTGTTAGGTATAAACCCCTATAGATACATAAACAGAACCAGATGATAGTTCCATTTTTTCGTCCCGTCCCTTTGTTGCTTCCTTTAATAATAATTCAAAATTTTCTTTGGTTATTACTAGTATCGTATAAGCCGAGATATAATCAGATACTAGTAAATTATGAATACCACGAATCTGATAAAGGGCGTAAATCCGCCAAGCAGTTCTTACAGCCTTTTTATATTTCCCAGAGGTAAACCGATCTTTCATTTCTTGTCTAGCATAAGTATTCCAATTATAAATAGCCATCTTTTCTCCTAATCGATAATAATATTGAAGTAATGTAACTCTATCCAACCAACAGAGTTGAAGACGTATGCAAAGGTAATCCATCTGTTGTCCCCAATTTTCTCCCTCAATAGGATCAAGCCTTTTATGAGAATCACTCTTTTTATGAAGATCTTGAATATAAAGAAGCATACGATCTGCCTCAAATGGTTCTCCTCTTAGTTCAGGCGCAAAATCGATCGAAACTTGATCCCCTTGGCTATCCAAAAATTCGATAGTGGTACTATTGATTCGTAAAGTATCTACGGATGATCCTTTAAGGTGCTCCTGCACTTGGAGTAGAAGTTTTAATAAAGGTGCAGTGACTAGAAAAGATTCCATAGTTGATAGAGAAATTAAGTCAATTTAAAGGGTATTTATAAGTATGTGAATGTTTTTTTACGGAAACCTCGATATATCGTTTTAACTAGTTTCCATACACTGCCTTCTTAAGGACCTTCTCTTTTTTATTAGGCTTGTTATCTATTATTTCACTTATCGTTCTGATCTTATATGAACCATTGCCACAAACATCATGAATGTAATATGGACTACTAAATTTAGATTTAAATTTCGCGCTATATGATGTCAACAAAGAGAACCATTCTAACAACACTTTATCTCCAATCAAATAACTCTCTATACGATGGCTTTGATCATGACGTGCTTTTTGTTTATCTTGAGCTTTTTCAATATTATTCTTAGCCTGATAACGCGATTCAGTCAGCCATCCTATCAAGCTTTCTATTCGGTGCAACAACTGATCCTGCAACTCCTCCTCAGTAATTGGTTCGTTCAGATAAGTTGAAATTACAGTTTCTATAGGTAACAAAGCATCCCGTCCGACATAAGGAAAAAAGACTCATAGTAAGTAACAGAATGTCTATTAGTTCGCTAGACAAAAAGTGCTGCAGTTACATAATCATCCCAATCGCCTTTATACTGTTCAATACACTTAGCTAAAACTTCACACAGTGTTCGATTAAAGCGCTCAACTAATCCATTCATTTGAGGGTAATAAGCCATTGATTTTGAACGACAAATGTTCATTTTGATACACAATGCATCCACGATTTTATTACAAAAATGGGTCACTTGGTCTGAAAGTAATTCATGTGGACTCCCGTGACGACAAATAATATCCTCAAAAAGGAAACTGGCCACTGATTCAGCATCGGCTCGTTCAATTGCACGGGCTTCTGGCCATTGAGTCAAATATTCTGTTGCTATGACTATATATTGTTACCCTTTTGTAGTAACTGGAAGCGGACCGATGATATCAATACTTATTCGATCAAAAGGTTGGCCAATATGAATAGGGTGAAGAGGCTCTCTAGTAGTTGGCTTTCCTCTTCTTTGGCATGAGTCACATGATGCAACAAAATCCCAAATATCGTTTCCCATCTGTGGCCAAAAATATCAGGTAATAATTCGTTGGTACGTCGCCTCTTTATTGAAATGTTCAGCTAAAGGATCCGAATACATTGCATATAATATAGCTTTAACTTCTAGTGGCTTCAATATTCATAACAGTCTAAGAGGATTCCGAGGTTCTTCTTATACAGTAATTCTTCTTTTACAAGGTAATGTCGCATTTTATGTTTCAAGATTCTAATTTGGGCATTTGTATAATCAGAAGGTACCGTAGACTCACTAAGGTACCTTAAAAATAAATAATACGTATCTAAATCCATAAAATTTTCTGTTAAATCAAGTTTTAGGTAATCCGAAATTGACATCGTAAAATTCAAATGGGAGTAGGAAATAAATCTTTGAAAACCAATTATTCTAAATTCGTGAAAGACTATCGGCGTTAAGATGTATTTTTCTGGGTCTATGGATGGTAGTAAAACTATACTCCTGCAAGGTCAGGATCCACCTGGCCAGTCGATTTTGGGGTAATCGGTGAGAAAATAATGATTTTAACGCAGAATGATCAGTATAAAGGGTAAACGGAATTCCATGAAGATTGGGTCTAAAATATGAAACAGCCCAGACAACAGCAAGGCATTCTTTTTCTGTTACAGAGTAGTTCTTTTTGACTGGAGTTAACGATCAGCTTGCATAAGCAACGACTCTTTCTTTTCCGTCTTCGTCTAATTGGAAAAGAATAGCACTCAGTGCTAAATCTGACGCATCAGTAAAAAGAATAAAGGTCTTGAAAAATCTGGATATGCTAAAACCAGAGCCATAATAAGTTTTTCTTTCAATCCTTCAAAAGCTTCTTGATGTCTTAAGGTCCAATGATATCCAGTATTCTTCTGTAATAATGAATTCAAGGGGACTGCAAATCTTGTAAATTCAGAGATAAACCGTTGATAATAAGATACCAATCCTAAGAATCCACGTAACTGTCTTAAATTTTGAGAGATAGGAAATTCTTGAACAGCTCGAATTTTTTCTGGATCAGTTGATATTCCTAACACACTCACGACATATCCTAGAAATTTTAATTTCTTACGGGCAAAATAACATTTTTGGGGTTTAATTTTTAAGCCCACTCGTCTTAGTCGTAAAAATACTTTCCTCAAATAATCCAAATGTTCTTTGCATGACTTGGAAAAGATATTAAGATCATCAAGATAAATAACAACAAATCTTCTATTTATATCGCTGAAGATTTAATCCATCAACCTCTGAAATATAGCCGGGGCATTCATAAGTCCAAATGGCATAACGTTGAATTCGTAAAGCCCATACGGTGTAATAAATGCAGTCTTCTCTTTATCGTCTTCAAACATCTCAATCTGCCAATATCCACTGGCTAAGTCTAGCGACGTGAACCAAGATGATCCATTTAAAGTATCCAAAAGTTCATCAACTCGGAGTAATGGTTAATTATCTCTAACTGTTAGGGAGCTAACATTTAAGAGCTCAATATAGCCCTCCCTGGGAATTGTCAATTGACTATTCCTCAGAGTATCAGAGTCAGTCATTTAACAATTTCAAAAATTAAAAAAAATTATATAAATTTTGTATATTTTATGTGCTTTTTGTATATTTTATGTACTCCTTGCATATTTTATGCACCCTTGCATATTTTATGCGTGATTATGCATGATTATGCATGATTATGCATGATTATGCAAGGATGTATAAAATACGCAAGAGATGTATATTTTATGCACTTCTTGCATAATCATGCATAATCATGCATAATTATGCATAATCATGCATAATCATGCATAAAATATGCAAGGGGTGCATAAAATATGCAAAGAGTACATAAAATATGCAAAAAGTACATAAAATATGCAAAATTTATATAATTTTTTTTAATTTTTGAAATTATCAAATGACTAACTCTGATATCCTGGGAATAGTCAATTGACAATTCCCAAGAGGGCTATATTGAGCTCTTAAATGTTAGCTCCCTTACAGCATTCAATTTTTTATAATCGACACAAAATCGCATCTTTCAGTTTCATTGCTTAACCAATACAACTGGCGACCCCATGGACTAGTAAATGGTCGAATGATTTGTTCATCCAACATGTTATTAATTTCTTCTTTGAGGAATTGTTTTTCAGCAGGAGAATATTGATACGTTCGTTGACAAATCGGCCATATGTCTTGGGTAGGAATACAATGCCGAATTATATTGGTCCTTCCCAACTCAGAAATATCTTGAGCGCAGAGATCGGGATTTCTTCTAAACAATTCTAATAGCCGCTTTCTTTGGTCGTCTTCTACTTCCCTTATATTATATTTAATATTGGAACTGCTTCCTTTTTCATAGTAATAATCGAATAAATCTGCTATAAATCGATTATCTTCTTTCTGTGTTGAAATAAGCCTGGCAACAGGTCCTCCGCCATATAATATCATTTCTTTATACAATCATTTGTTATCTCTTTCTTCTTCTATAATTTCATCCCATTCTGAGCCCAATCTTTTTCTAACATTTCCTCTTTCGCCGACAAACTCTAAAATCGCATACAATTGCTCTTCTAACTCTTCATCTTCAAAGTCCTCATCTTCTTCTTCTTCATCTTCGTCCTTATCGTCACTACCAAGATTTCTTATTCTTACTACTCGCTCTTTGTCTAACGATGCCTTGGCTAATTTCCGAAACTCAACCGAAACAATAATTTCTTTCTCATCCCAAATCAAAGTCATTTCAGAACTATTCTAATCAATAGCTGTATTAACTTTAGCTATCCAATCATTTCCTACAATAGCACAATACGAATTGGCGTCGGTTACGACCACATCAATTAGAATTTCAACGCCACCGATATTAAATGGAAAATCAGAAATTTCTCCAATAGCACACTTGCTTTCACTATGAATATTGACCATATTTACTATAAATAGTCGTTCAATTTTTATATCAAGATCGTTTAACAAGTGGGAAGTAACAACACTTCCAGAGGAACCGCTATCGACGATTAATGATATTACTCGGTCATAAACTTGGTGTCACAATATAAGGCCATCGACTTTAAGGTGGGCTGTATATTAACATTAGCTTGAATCTTTTTATGGCTTACAACCTTTTTCTTTTGTAGAGACCGGGATAATTCTTGTCTCATTGATGTTGTAACTTGTAACAACTGCCCGATAGTTATATTAGTAGGTTTATCTCTTACATCGGCTACTATCGAATATGGAGTAACTAAAGAAGAAATTTGAGGTAATTCATTTTTAACAATATTTTTTCGTCGAATGACAGGAACCTTTCTCTGAACTACTTTCATATCCTTTTTCTTTTTATTCATCTTAGGCGGTTCAACTTTCTTTGACTCAAGTGGTGCAACAGATTCATCTTGTTCTTGATCGTGGGTAACTGGATCTTGTAGCTCTAGGTTTTTGTGATCCTCAAGAACTTCTTCCATTTCAACATCAGGATCTTTATTATTTTCAGTTTCTTCAAGATCGATCAAATCTACAGTTTTAGTCCCAACTTGTTTTTTCTGAAGGATCAGTGTATTTGCTATAAGCTTTGGGCGAATTGGCCTTTCGGCTAGAAAAAATAACATTTCATCCTCAGAAATTCCTAAATACGAAGCTTGATTCCCTGCATTATTAAGGAGACCTGGATTATTATTCATTAATGCTAATAACGCTTGAAGAGTTTCTTGAAGGTCATTTCTATTAAGGGTAGGATTATTATTATTATTATTATTGCTGGAATTATTATTATTAATTGCTAGCAGCCGGTTATTAACTGGAGGATTATTACGATTATTTGATGAATCAGGACAATTTCGACTATAGTGTCCAGTACATCCACAAGTAAAACATGTTACAGTCGATGGGTAGAATTTCCGGCCGGGGGTCTAGGTAGTGGCCTTAGTTAATCTTGAAGTTGGTTCATTAATTTCTCGATTGAACTTGTC